ACAAAGTATAATACTATGGCATTTGGAATGCAATGGTGGCACTGTGAGTTCCATTCCCGGCCACGGCTAACATGTGGTGATTAATATCTGAACTAGTCTTCGAAAACCCTTTGCCAACCCAAACGGACTGGTGTGGTGAAATATGGTCAATCAACCCTGAATATTAACACAGCGTGGACAGGCCTTCTTCACCCAGCAGTGGATTGAATGGTTGCATTTTTTTGTTTTAATGTAGAATTCAAGTGAAATGTTAAAGAGTTTCTCCCTGCTCAAATAAGTAATGGGGACAGCAGTAATCTCGACTAATGATCCTGAACCAGTGATAGAAATTTTACATTTCTATTGCGGGAACCATAGAATGACCACAGTATTGCACGATTAATATTGCATATTTCAACAGCTGGGGACATTTAGTCATTCATCCAGAGTAACACCTAATAAGAAGTTAACAGCGGATATCTGTTTACCATTGGAATGTGGAATTTCCACGGATACCACATTACCACCAAAAATGAAGATGTTCATTAGAGCATTGAGTCATGTTTCATTTTAGCATAACAATTATTTATTAATAATTTCAAAACTATACAGTAATAATAAAAAAATGACAAACTCAGCCTAAATATAAATACTGAAGCTATAAAAACTAAATAAGAAAAATACGGAGCACAAAAAGCCCGACAAGAGAATTTCAAATAACATCGCATAAAAACGTAAATTCATTTTAACCAATAGGTTTCCAAAGTTCCCTGTATGAGCTTCTACAAACAATTACATTTGTGTTTGCCAATGTACAACTTGAAATAAAATCTTGATGGCAGAGTGTACGAATGTAATATTTAATTCCAATAACTGGGAGATTTATGACTAAATTATGCATGAACTATTTTGGTAAAAAACTTTCCAAGTTACAAATAATATCCGTAATCATATTTCAGTATAAAATAGTTTTGCATTCAAATGTTCTACTTTAATCATTTTAATTTATGTTCAAACCATGCTTACACCTAGTTTTTGGAACAATATTGTTGTGTACATAACGTTTGCTCCTCTTTTTCCGATGATTAAACCAAAATTTGCGGTAATTTGTCAATCAACTGGTGGATAAAGACCCATGCCACGCCAGTTATGGAGATTGTTCAACCAAACTAAACTATGTAGGTCGGTGTTAGGTGTTGAAGGTGGGAATCAAGAACCGGTTCAGATATCATGCAACACTTTACATTAGCCCTGGCAGGAAACTAAAATCAGGGCACTGGTCCAAAGTGCAGCGTGCTAACGATTGCACCACTGCTCGATCCGATTACTATGCATATTTAATCTCAACGTTTGTTTAAGAAACGATTTAATTTTACTTTTACATTAAAATTTAAGGGTGTACATTTTTGAGCATGAAAAATGTTCACGTGTGTACGTTCATTATTTTGCAGTTTTCACACCTCTGAATTGATGTTATCCCAGCTCCCTTAAATATAAGTGCATAAGTAGTTTCAATCGGCTTTAACATGGTTTAAATAAATAATTACTTTCAACTATAACTTTAGGCCACGGCAAATTCGTCCAAATTAACATGAAATGTCAGAAGCGTGAAACACAACGGGTGAGTGGAAGCGACCCATAGAGAGAAACACGAGGCGGTGTTGTGGAAGCAGAATGGTGTGTGATCATGACGATCTCGACAAGTGGTTCTTTACCTGGGGTGCACGCACCCCCTGGGGGTGCGATATCCCTATTCCGGCACGTAAGTACAACTACTTTATTTCAGCAAACCCTTTATGTAGTTATTAACATGACACATTTTTTTTTTTACGATTGATAACCAAAGGGGTGCAAGGCTGCAGCAAATGTTAAAGTAACCACTGACCTAGACGAACTGTAGTTATAAATCGCCTAAAAGTTATACTTATGGCGGGAGGCGTAGTTTAACATTAGAGAGATGTGATTTAACACTATGTTTATGATACTGGACTTACTCGAGACGGGTGCGATTCTAACACGAGAAAGCCGTGCGTTTATAACCGTGGGTAGTTCAAGGGTCACGTTCACTTTAACCAGGTGCGATTCTAACACGAGAAAGCCGTGCGTTTATAACCGTGGGTAGTTCAAGGTCACGTTTACTTTAACCAGGTGCGATTCTAACACGAGAAAGCCGTGCGTCTATAACCGTGGGTAGTTCAAGGTCACGTTTACTTTAACCAGGTGAGAACTCAAGGGACGATGATTGCTGCGCATAATCCAAATGGAGTAATTTGCGGGTAATTTTCGAGCTTCGCAATTTCGTAGAATGGTAAATTGCCTTCTCTGGCGAATGTCGTCACGGGATCTTTAGCCTCCACTGTGAAGCAGATGGCGCATAGTATCACCGTGTTTTTTTTTAAGCCGGCAGAAATAATTAGGGCGGCCACTGCATTCGAACCCCGAAGCTCTCCAATAAGCGGTGAAAGCGTTACTGCTAGGCCCCGTCACCCGTAGGCGTAACAAAAGATAACTGTGTGTATGTTTATTAGAATTATGTTGTGTAACTCTTGACATTGTTACGTGTTAATAACTTTAACACGGTATTATACCTCTCTGTATATTACTCCTTCGTCTCGAGGAATGAGCAATGTAGTTTGTCCATAATGAGAAAATGTGGTGGAACATGCAAGTTTATAGCGTTATGTGGCAGTGCTGATAACCCTTGGGAGCTGCGGATACGATAGAGCAGGGACGAGTCGCTTATGTCGATTAGTCAAAATTATTAACAACATTCCCCCCCATATCCTGAATATTGAAGGCGGGAAACCCCCCGATACACACCACGTGGCTTCTGATGCGGCACGTGCGCAAAACTGATGTCATTTACTCTCCAGGGTGGTCCAGGTGTCTTGTGTGTTATTGTGTACACGGTGTATCTTAGAAAGTGGTGTGTGTTATTGTGTACACTGTGTCTCTTAGAAAGTGTTGTGTTATTGTGTACACTGTGTCTCTTAGCAAGTGTTGTGTGTTATTGTGTACACTGTGTCTCTTAGAAAGTGTTGTGTGTTATTGTGTACACTGTGTCTCTTAGAAAGTGTTGTGTGGGTCATTGTGTACACTGTGTCACTTAGAAAGTGTTGTGTGTGTCATTGTGTATACTGTGTCTCTTAGAAAGTGTTGTGTTATTGTGTACACTGTGTCTCTTAGAAAGTGTTGTGTGTTATTGTGTGCACTGTGTCTCTTAGAAAGTGTTGTGTGTGTCATTGTGTACACTGTGTCTCTTAGAAAGTGTTGTGTGTGTCATTGTGTATACTGTGTCTCTTCGAAAGTGGTGTGTGTTATTGTGTACACTGTCTCTTAGAAAGTGTTGTGTGTGTAATTGTGTACACTGTCTCTTAGAAAGTGTTGTGTGTGTCATTGTGTACACTGTGTCTCTTAGAAAGTGTTGTGTGTGTGTAATTGCGTATACTGTCTCTTCGAAAGTGTTGTGTGTTATTGTGTACACTGTCTCTTAGAAAGTGTTGTGTGTGTGTGTAATTGTGTACACTGTCTCTTCGAAAGTGTTGTTATTGTGTACACTGTCTCTTAGAAAGGGTTGTGTGTGTCATTGTGTATACTGTCTCTTAAAAAGTGTTGTGTGTTATTGTGTACACTGTGTCTCTTAGAAAGTGTTGTGTGTGTGTAATTGTGTACACTGTCTCTTAGAAAGTGTTGTGTGTGTGTCATTGTGTATACTGTGTCTCTTCGAAAGTGTTGTGTGTTATTGTGTACACTGTCTCTTAGAAAGTGTTGTGTGTGTGTAATTGTGTACACTGTCTCTTCGAAAGTGTTGTGTTATTGTGTACACTGTCCCTTAGAAAGTGTTGTGTGTCATTGTGTATACTATGTCTCTTAGAAAGTGTTGTGTGTGTAATTGTGTACACTGTCTCTTAGAAAGTGTTGTGTGTGTATATAATTGTGTACACTGTGTCTCTAGAAAGTGTTGTGTGTGTAATTGCGTATACTGTGTCTCTAGAAAGTGTTGTGTGTGTATATAATTGTGTACACTGTGTCTCTTAGAAAGTGTTGTGTGTATATAATTGCGTACACTGTCTCTAGAAAGTGTTGTGTGTAATTGTGTACACTGTATCTCAAGAAAGTGTTGTGTATATAATTGTGTACACTGTGTCTCTAGAAAGTGTTGTGTGTGTATATAATTGTGTACACTGTGTCTCTAGAAAGTGTGTGTGTATATCATTGTGTACACTGTGTCTCTAGAAAGTGTTGTGTGTGTGTAATTGTGTACACTGTGTCTCTAGAAAGTGTTGTGTGTGTATAATTGCGTACACTGTCTCTAGAAAGTGTTGTGTGTGTGTAATTGTGTACACTGTGTCTCTAGAAAGTGTTGTGTATATAATTGTGTACACTGTGTCTCTAGGAAGTGTTGTGTATATAATTGTGTACACTGTGTCTCTAGAAAGTGTTGTGTATATATTGTGTACAGTGTCTCTAGAAAGTGTATATAATTGTGTACACTGTCTCTAGAAAGTGTTGTGTATAATTGTGTACACTGAGTCTCTAGAAAGTGTTGTGTGTGTGTACACTGTGTCTCTAGAAAGTGTTGTGTATATATAATTGTGTACACTGTGTCTCTAGAAAGTGTTGTGTATATATAATTATGTACACTGTGTCTCTAGAAAGTGTTGTGTGTGTGTAATTGTGTACACTGAGTCTCTAGAAAGTGTTGTGTGTGTGTGTACTTGTGTACACTGAGTCTCTAGAAAGTGTTGTGTATATATAATTGTGTACACTGTGTCTCTAGAAAGTGTTGTGTATATAATTGTGTACACTGTGTCTCTTGAAAGTGTTGTATATATAATTGTGTACACTGAGTCTCTAGAAAGTGTTGTGTGTGTGTGTGTAATTGTGTCTCTAGAAAGTGTTGTGTTTATAATTGTGTACACTGTGTCTCTAGAAAGTGTTGTGTATATATAATTGTGTACACTGAGTCTCTAGAAAGTGTGTGTGTGTAATTGTGTCTGTACGCGGTGACTCCACAGAGGCGTGGTTTTGACAGAGGGAGGGAGGCGCGACCCCGCCCGTCTTGGTTTCAATTTTACCACTTCGCTCCAAAAGCAGCAGCAACAACAACAGTAGCAGCAGCAGCCCCCCTCTCCCCTTCCTCGTCTCATCATTGTTTTCTTCGTCCTCCTCAACCGCAACCAGCGAAGGAGATAAAAACTTTTTTTTGTTTTAATCCGCGCATTAGAGGAGGCGACGCGACATGGCGAGCGGGTGAGACGCTCCACATCACCAACCCCCGCCCGTCGTCATCACCGTCGGCTTACATTACGTAAAGAAAATAAACCCATCGGCCTAATCTCGCGAATAGCCTTCTCTCACTACGTTGTTGTCACGCTCGGCTATTTGTTTGTTTTATTTCACAATTGTCATCCGTGTTTACGTCTCGCAGGGCGCCGCGCCTGTGAGCCATGTCCGAGGCGCGACTGGAGGGGGCCCTCCTCCCGCTCCTCCCTGCCGGGGACGAGCATCCGAAGTCGGCGGGGCCGCCAGGCGAAGGCGAGGTCCCGAGTCGCGATCAGGCCGTGGCCGGGCCCGGGTACCGGGAGAAGGCGGCGCCGGGCGGATTCGCCGTAACGGAGGCTACCGCAGGCGTAGCAGGAGGACATCGCGCTGCCGTCGACGGCGCTGGTGGCGTTGGTGCACGTGAGGTTAAACCGGACGAAAGCCGCCGAGAGGTGCACTCGTCCGGATCGGCTGTCGCCGCCGCCGCTGTAAACACTGCCGAGGTCGTGCCCTCGCTGTCGGCGGACGCAGAAGGCCAGGCCGAGGCCTCGGCCCTGCGAGCCCGGGGCGTGGGCGACGGAGCCGCCCGCGAGCCGCAACGGGCGATGCCGAGCCGCGGGGAGTACGGGGCCACGGTGACCGAGGCGCCGGGCAGGGCAGGAGCAGGAGACGATGCCGAGCCTGCTAAAGCAGGTGCGGCCGCCTATACAGGAGGAGCAAACGCCGCTGGAGAAGTAGGCGCAAGCACAGCAGTGGCGGCAGCTCCAACGACAGGGACATCATCTTCATCATCTGCTCCGGGAGCAGCGGCCATCGGTGCACCAGCAGCTGCTACAGGAGAAGCGGCAGCAGTAGCAGCCGCTGCTGCTGCCGCTGCTGCATCATCTACCTCGGGAGGAGCAACAGGAACGGCCGCACCGACAGCTGCATCGCCGACGTCTGTTTCGCCAAAAGCAGCACCTGCTGCAGCAGCAGCAGCAGCGACGGCAGCCACAGCGCCTGCAACTTTTGAAGACGCAACGGCAACTTCAGCCGGAGCAGCAGGTGCAGCAGCAGGTGCAACAGCAGCGCACGCGCGGGCTTCTACGCAAGGTGGATCAGCAAGGTGTGGGACTTTGGAGAGGAGCGTCATGGACACTTCTTCGCCTACTCGGAGCCCCGAAAGGTCGGCGAACCAAGGAGACCCGGCGTCTTTAGATGCAGAGGTCAAGCCCGGGGTAGAGACAAATGAAGGCTTGGACGAGCAGCAGCAGCAGCAGGCGGCGGCGGCAACAACAACAACAAGGGGCGATCCTGCCGTGGGAGGGACAGGAGGAGCCACTCCACTCCACAAGCAGCAGCAGCAGCAGACGACTGCGGTGGCCGCTAAGGACAAGTACCCTGGACAGTCCATCTATCACATCAAGTGGATCAAGTGGAAAGGGGAGAGCACTGCCATTATAACGCAGAACGAGAACGGACCCTGTCCTTTGCTGGCCATCATGAATGTCCTGCTGCTTTCCTGGAAGGTAGCGATGAATTGTTTATAAGCGGCAGACGAGTGATGTGATTCGTTTAGACTTGTGTTAAAATGTCCCCGCTAGTTATACGGAACGACGAAAGTCCTTTCAGGTTTTACCAGGGTTTGGGATTTTAGAAACATTGCAGAGGAGGAGCACGTATTGGTTAGTTCGGAGAGAGATTTCTCTCAGCCTTTGGTAATTTGTGTGACTCGGGTTTTTTTTTGTGTCTGGGAACATTTGTAAATAATTGATTATTGTGCTGCACGTGTACTTAAGGGAGTACTGCTTTATTGCAGTTCAGTGCAGTGTTTGATTACTAATGATGAAAGTGCTAATAGTCCTGCAAAGGCAACCATCTGGCACAATCACATCCTTGCAGTGTATGTCATGTGATGGCATCATCCATTTTACAGCTGGGTGTCTTTTGCCACGCGAGTACAGCACCTCTGTTCACAGTGCTGCGCAAATTATATGCATATTGCACCCACAAGATCTAACCACTTCGTTTTGTTCTTGGTGCGTGTGCTCCCACATTTACCTGCTTTTCCAACACAGGTGTTGTTACAGCAGTTTATTAGCTTCCAGCAACATTTCCACCTACATTTTTGTTGTTAATTTCTCGTGTGATATGTATTTTTTTTAGTTTTCTAATCTGTGTTTTTATATTCTGACATTAACTGTTCAGTTGTGCAACTTTCCATGATGATTTCGGTAAATGTGTACACGTTTTTGTGATTGCTCAGTTTCTAATCCTTAATTCATCCCTGGCACTTGAAATAAGAGCATTAAAGCCTCTAATTTTCCTTTACATTCCCAAAAAGAACCATGCAGGTATTTTTCATTCTCATTACACAATTGTAATGGATTCCGGTGCACATGTATTAATCATTATAAAACAAGGGAGTACTGCTTTGGATAACTGTATTTCGAAAGAGCTTTGCACGCTCGGCTAATAGAATTCTGAAATGGTAATTGTGAAAAGTGCTCTAATCGTAACAAAATACTGTGTTCAAGCGAGCCCAAGCTTGGCTAGCACCGTCATCAAATGTCTACCTCCCATGTATAAGTAGAGCAGTGTGATTTCCTACTTCCTTGTTTGCACACGTAAATGTATCCAAAAAATACTAAGCTAGGTCATTGCTTTAATTTGTACGCATATGAGATCACCTTTCTGTTTTGTTAGAACGTATTATGAGCTGCTATAGAACAATTGTTGGTTATTTTGAGCCTGTGTATATCCCACTTAATCATGTTACTATTTCTTTAACTGCCTTGGATAATTCAGCTTTGATTCTAAATGGTATTTTATTTTCTTCCAGCATTATTTGTATTGTCATTAAAATGTTGGTGTCAATTACACTATACTTCAGCCCTTGTGATTAGTTTCAAGATATTTTAAAAGATGGCTTTGATTACTGTTTTAACCTGCTTTGCTGCTTTGCATGACATCCGCAGTTTTTCAGATGTGGAGCTGTACTAAAATGTGTCACGTTCTTTTGGACAGATCCGATTCCCTGCTGGAATGGAAATCATTAACGCTGAACAGTTAATGGAATGTCTCGGTGAGTAGTTCTTATCTCCTGACAGCGCAACTGCTACGACTTTGAAACATGATTTACTTGATTGCTTTGAAAGAGTCTGTCAGAAATATCATTTTAAGAGTGAAACCTGTCCTCAAGCAAAGTGCGAGATGAGTATGCTACGTTATCAAACGATTCTGCGAAGTAAAAGTAATAAGCTGATATAGCTACAGTATTGTGGGGAAATGACAACAAACTCCATGAATTGCATTGATATGGGGAGCCGTGTTGTGGATCCTGTGATCTGCAACAAAAATGTGTGATGCGGCGTGCCTTGCATTGGAAAAATTAGCTGCCCAATTTCACTAATAGGGAAATGGTGTTGCATGATGTGTAGCTAAATTAATCGTTGCTAAATTTGTGGATTAGGAGCTTGAGTCTTTCGAAGACCCAAATTTTGCAAATGTGCCATAGCGTCTATGTTTAAGGAATTACATTTTTTACTCAATATCCCAAGTTTGAATAATTATAAATGGTTTACTTTACGAATCCTATCAGCACAGCTAGTCTGTACTGATGAAAAAACTATTCTAAATAGAAAACTTCCTTCTGCATTTCCCTGCAGCTCTGCGTTAGCCCCACCTACTTATAGAGATCAAGGTTCACAGTCCTCGGAAGCATTTCAATCCACTGGGTTAGGGGAGGAGTTGCGAACCACCAATAATACATGCATTACAGAGATTTGCAGAGTATTGTAGTTCTATACCAATATATTCTGTTTAAAAGCTGTTGCTTGAGAGCATTGTAATAATATTACAAAAATTTAATATGTTAGACTTCACCTGGAATCCTGAGCAGTGCCATTTTCAGGTTTAAACTGGGTTTCCTCAGTAAAGATTTCATATTATTAAACAGTTTTATGTTGAGAAAAATGTTTAAAATAGTCGTTATTCATATGCATGAGTCATTTAATAATGCATATGTATGTTCTTAAAAATCACAGCTTACTGATGTTAAACAGAGTATTTTACAACTATAATTTTGGGTTTAGCCATCTGGCTTCCTCTGTGGTAAGAACATTTAACAATTCCGGAAGGTTACAAGTGCAAATCCCTATTGAGATAGACACTGCTTATGAATTCCTCTAGGACAAACAAAATGGGTACAATTCTCTGAAAAGCCAACAGTGGTTGACCTATGGATATACTGGCCCCAGCTAAGGGAATGTGTAATTTTCAACACTGGCTCAGAAGCACCCAAGAAGATAATTAATGCTGTATTGCATATTTGAACAAGGAGATTCGATTACTGACCTTTATGTGATTACTGACCTTTATTAGTGATAGCAGCTTTGAGCTATGTGTATATTCTTAACAAATGAGTCGGGTCATGGTACATTGTGAAAGAGCTATTGTATGTCACCATCCTCTCAACAGAATTTCAATACAACAATTTAGTTGCTTGCGTTTATTGTGGCTGCAATTTTTTTCTCAGCGTGCGTAGCAGCATAAACTAATTTATTACATCTAATATTTCTACGAAGTTCATCAAGGCATATTCTATTAAAGAACAATTTAGTAACGTTAAATGTTCTACAGCAATTGTCGTTGAGACGGTTTAATGCCTGTTATCGTTATGCAGGTGACTTCATCTTAGAAACGATGCCAAAAGAATTTTCCGAGGCACAGCGACTCAACTATGAGCAGGTAAATGTGAGTGAGCTGATGTTGTGACAGAATATCCAGTTGTCATTCTGCAGCCGGCTAACAGCGTTGTTGGCCTCATCATGTTCATTGTAAGGAATGCTGAGCTGGTTTCTGGGATATTGTTCCTATGTGCCCGAAAGAACAATTTGTGCAGCTCGCTTGGCACAGAATTTGATTTGGAAATCGCTTAATAAACTATTTAAAATGCATCCTGTGCAATAGTTTATATAAGGGATATGAAAAAAAGTCGCGGATCTAATAGGCAAATTTTAAATTATCTTGTCACGCACAGGACAGGCACTTTGCTACGTTACATTGTAACTAGTATGGCAGTGAGTCATTGATGCCAGATGTTTTTACCTTTCAGATTGTGCTATTTCTTATTGCATCTGTGATTTAGCTGTTATTGCAAATGTACCATTGTAACAAAGGCTTTGAATACAGCCCGATATTTAAATGAGGCTAAATAAAGCAGTGCATTATATCCATAATTGCACAGATGCACACTGCTTGACACATTTTTGATTTAAGTGTGAATAATTTAGATGTTATTTTCACCAACAGCTGACAATTTTTGTGTATAGTGCTTTAGTTTAATACTTGCTATAACTGCATCAAATGGCTGACCATCCGTAACAAATTCAAACGCACGATTCAATTTTAAGTCCACATGGGTTGCACGAATGCAATCAATCTTTCAATTACCTGTATTGGAAACACCTGCTGTGTGGTGTCTGGAAAATAAGACCTGGCTTCTCTTTGCTATGCATGTGAAATGAACATTGACGCATGAAGTTTGCCAAACTGGAAAATAATCCTTGAAAACCAAGAATAAGAAAGCTATTCTGTATAATTGTGTGGAGTTGAAAAGGCAGCGTCTCTGCTCAAATGATCACTAAATGCAGCACTTAAATCCATGGCCGGCCCCGAACCGGTGATTAAAATTTTATATTTTCTGGCCTTGGCGGGGGTCATTCAAGGTACAGAATGACCACAGTCGACCTCCCACAAAGTAGTCCTCATTTTATCACCTGGTAAAGTGTCTGTGGGCTCATTGAAATTACTTGAAAAAAAATCTGCCTCTATTTGTGTACACGTTACATTGTATACATTAGCATGCATCCCTCCCAAGTGACTTGAGGCAATTGCACGAAAAAATTTAAATGGTTTGTAGATGTAACCTCATTGCAGAGTTAATAGTCCATTGAAACTGGAGTTGTATTCATCCATTAAAGTGCTGATGGAACAATTGATCATTAGTTGTAAAGGTACCCGGTTAACACGTGCATTACGTTTGCGCACAATCTGAATCACTTTATGACACTCGGAAGAGTGATTGCACGGTATTACAAGTGACATCTGAGTCAAAAAGCAATACAAGAATTATGTAATTACACCATTGATTTATAATGATAACTCTTAATTTTCATTTGGAGAAAAGTGAGTACGCATTTTGTTCCACTATATATGCTTTGCAATGTACACGTTTAAATGCCACATGTCTGAACTTAGCTTATAAAAGCACTGTTTATGAAGGTCACTCAAAAGTTGTTGATTATGATCTTCAAGTTGTCTGTGGGACCTGCATTTTGTCCTTGAACTAAACATTTTGGCTGCAGTTTTCAACTGTGATACCACTAAGTCGCCTTTTCCAGATCCCACCCGGCAATTACAGTTGAACTGTGTTTCCAAAAGCAAAGGTTCAATTGTATTCCTCTTGGATATGAATTTGGCCATAATGCATTGCCATGCTACCTCTGAAATATATGAACACTGTACTCGGCACTACACTCTTGCCAGCATGTGAATTACATTGCTGGGTTTATACAGGTTATGCTAAATGTATTATAAAAGCTTTAATAGTATAATGCTTGTTTACACAGGACAGCCTCAGTCAGGACAGCCTCAAGCTGCTTTTTGTGTTTAGTTGTCCTTCCCCCGCACCTGATTAGCATGGTTGATTATGTATGGTGCAAAAGAAGTTCAGCATACATGCCTTATGACTCTTTCTCTGGAGGGTCTTGCCAAGTTTTTGCAGCATGGGACGATGATTGCTATGTATGTCTTATTTCAATCAAATTATTTGTGATTTTTTTTTTTATAAATCTGGACCATGACGTCGGCACATGATGGTCTACTCCTGCAAATGACGTTGCAGGCTTTCCAATGTCCACTGTGAAGCAGACAGAATTTATTTTACGTTTGATACATGCGCAGTTTTAATCAGAGCAGCCGCTAGATTAAAACCGTGAACCTCTGCACCAATCGGTGTATGCGTGACCGCAAGGCCATGTCAATTGTGCTTGGCTATTTTTACTGCAATACGTGAGTGTAACATGCATTGGTGCTCAATTACTTTTCATTCCTGGCACTTGTACGCGAGTTTGAACTTTGAGTTTTGTTATTGTTGTTCTCTAAATAAAATGTAAGTGGGGAAGGGTTACAAAAGTCAACTCGGTTATAGATTGGTAATGACCTTGGTATGATTCTCGCCATGCATAACTTCACAGCACAGGTGGAATTGGAATTAGCTGGCCTCTGCTTCGAAGAAGTACCTGGTCCGGTATCAGCATTCAGGGGACACAGGTAGCTAGGCATGGTGCTGTCCACACTTAAAACTCTGTCTTAATATGCTATGTTAGTTTTAATAGGTACTGAACCTAATTTATTTACCTGGCTGACTGCATATTAAACCGACGGTTGAAATTCTGCTCAGGGTTCTAATTTGCCTGCCCTGGCCTCTTTTATCTTTTAGAGGTAAGTAAAATGAGTACTACTTGGAAAAGTTGTCATCCAATAGAGAGACTGGCCTCCACCATGGTAATGTGGAATTTCTTGCCATGGCTCTGTGAATAAAATACTCATCACCCCAATACTTGAATAGAACTTGAGCAGTAATTACCCCCACTGCCTGCCAAGACTGAAAGAAGGATCGTTGTCTCCTGTGCGTACACGTGTGTCTACAGAACATCAGCGATGCCATGACCATAATGCACAAGCTACAGACAGGGCTGGATGTCAACGTGCGGTTCACGGGCGTGGCGGATTTTGAATACACTCCCGAATGCATTGTGTTTGACCTGCTGGGCCTGCCTCTATACCATGGCTGGTTGGTCGACCCACAGGTAAGCATCCCATGTTCATATCATTGGGAGGAATAAAAGACATAAACCACATCAACTTTTGAGTCTTTGTATGTGGTCCTTCTGATATATGGAAATAATACCAATTATATTTTACTCTAGCTTTTGTGTATTGGCAATATATTTGCATATCACAACAAGCTGTTATTTTTTTAGTTTTGTATTTTTAGGTAAAACTCTGTGCTTGATATTTCTCAGTTATTTACATGTACTTATTCATAGTATTGGCCAAGCAGTGGGTTTATATTTAATGTTGTACACAGCCAGCGGTTTAATAGTCGTAGTGCAATTAACGATGTTTAATTAATGTGGTTCAGTGAAAGAAGGCTTTGTCTTCCTCCAGAATTCTGATGTGGTCAAGGCGGTGGGCAAGTGCAGCTATAACCAACTGGTTGAAAAAATTATCTCCAGCAAACAGTCGCAAAACAGCGAAGTGTTCAGTGAGGGTAAGTGATATACACTACTCCATTGCCCTAACTGACCTTGGTTGTCAGGCGCAACAGTATAATGAAGGCACTCTGGCTGCGAATTGCAAAAACATCAACAACGTGCGTGTTAATGGTAGGCACTTTAGAAAACAACTGAGCCGCAAGCTCCAATGTAACAAATACCGTAACACAATGCTGATTGTGATTAAGGTCTTTGTGTTTATATTGGCTGTGCGGACACCTAAGGCTTGTTTTTATGTTTAGCCTCTTGCCTCTAGCTAATTACAATGCAGCCAATAAGGTTCTGGAAAGCATGGATTCGGAACACTTGAACATGTGCCCCTAGCTCGAGGTAAAATGGCCTTGGCACTGGCTTTTAAACCGTGTGCAACTTACATAATGGCCTTCTTATAGATATGGAAATCTGCCTATACATAAATTTAACATTACTCAAAAGATTGTTTTGGAGCAGATGAAAATTTGTATTCAGTAAGTTATACCCTTTGCATGGAATGCAAAAACAAGCGGCCATCTCCCCTGTCTGGCCCTTGTAGCAAGTATTGATCCAAAGAGCAGTTTGCTTAAATGAATCCTTCATCTCACCACTGCCCCTAAGGCTGAGTTAATGCTTTGTATGCTGCACACAGTGGTACAAAGTGAAGTAGTTCTGTATTAGTAGGGCTATTCCTACACACGCTACAAATAAACATTACTAATTACGTAGTCCTACAGATGTGGCATAGCAGATTACAGCTACGTTCTCAATGTAAATATAAAGAATACAGAATGATGGTCTGTACAACACAAGTCTATTTTTTCTGTTATAACTTTCGATATTATTCAAATGAAAAAAATCCAAAGTAACTCCCAGCTGTGCTTAATAATTGTTTTTCGCTGTGCTGACAATGCTTGGCTGTCGCTAACCTTGGTGGCTGTGGCTGACTGAAGGAGAGTGGTTATAACTCTGCCTAGTTTAGTGGGAAAACATGCATTGTGATTAGCTTCATGAACAATAAAAAGTAGATCAATAAAGTACTGCATAGTACTGTACGTGGTAAATCTGTTGCCATGCATTGTGGTGTAAAGCTGCGAAATTTAACTGCAGGAGCACGTTGCCGTCACGCGTAGTTTTTGATGTGCTCTTGCATTGGGCCTGAAGTGTCTTTAAAACCAGTTTTACTGCAGTGCCTTGTCAGTAGTGGCTATTTTTAAACACAACTGTCTGCAAGTTTGTCACTAATCTTCTTCATTGGTGGTATGCGTTTGGCTGATTGATGGGTTGTGTCTTAAAATACCTTTTTTGTTAGTGGAGAAACATGTTTGTGAAGGATAAATATTGTCTGCATATCTATTGGTGGTATCATACATTTAATCTAGAATTGTTTTCAAATTTTCTTGGGTGAATAACACTGTTAAACCCATACTGCCAAATGCATTCAACAGAAACTCTGGAAAGGGCCCCACCCCTGGAATAATATTTTGCAACCAGACCCACAAAGACCTCGTGACTTCATTACATGCTGAGTGTTGAGCATCTGCCAATTTAGTATGGTTCCTACATGATGGGAGGAAAGGAAATCAAACATTTACATAACTTGTCGTACTGCACATGCTCATTCCATCTCCATGATTACTTATTTAGAGAAGTTAAAACAGGATGAGATAGCGTTAACTGTACTTCCAAAGAGACTTTGCTAGTAAAAATAAAAATAACACTTCGGATAAATTACAGAAATGCTTGCATAATTATGAAACTAATGAGACAAATGACGTATATAAATAAGTTGTAATTGCAGCCACTTGACGTACGTTGGAAAGCTGTAGCATTGGCGTGCCTTGGAATGTCTAGCAATGCCTTGTAATGGCTTTAAATTTATGACAGGATGGTACAGTATGGCAGAGGTGGGTATGATGTGGAAATATGGCAGTTTGAATTATATACCATCAGAGAGATGCATGTTTATTTAGTACACTGTCAGGAAATGTATTGCTTTATATGCATAGTAAAAAAAACTTTTTACAGACTCGGATCTTTCAGTGGTTTTATTATTATTATCATTGCCATTATGCAATGTGTGATTCCATTTATGCACTATACACATTAAAGAGCTACTGAGAGTTTGTCCGTCATTTAATTTCTTGGCTTGGTAGCCTTAGCGATTTTCAGAATATGCTTTTATAGTTGTACATTATTCTGTTTAGTTTAATTTTTCAAGGGTCTAGTAATAAACTATGAATAATAGGCTGGAGTGGTGGGTTTATAAATATGAATACACTCCCTCGTGCCTTGAATTAATTGCATACTTTAAATTGTGTTGGTTGGCTTCCAAACATCATGCATATTTTTGTCATAACACCCACAGGAATGGTAGCAGAGCTGTTTCTGGACAGCACAGCCACTCAGCTGACTTATCATGGACTCTGCGAGCTCAACATTCATGTCAAAGAGGCAGAGATCTGTGTCTTCTTTCGAAACAATCACTTCAGCACCATCTACAAGCATAAGGTGCCTAATTTCATTGAACATCTTCATGGGTACATTGGTTGTTGTGTCATGTGGAGTTTCAAACTGAAGAAATATATAATAGGTGACATTTAAGGCAATGGCCCTTCATAGCACATCAAGAGACCAGAGAGAGGTGATAAGCATAGGAGACTGCACTTAACACCATGGGTTCTGGTGATAATGACATATCTATCTGGCCTCACTATGTGTGACAAAGAAGAACCATTACCTAAAAATTGTGAGGGTGTTTGTTAGTTTTGCTTGTTTGCACCACTGCCAACACAGGATCAAATAATTTGTTATGTTTGGACCACTTGCCACACAATCGCATGCACACGCATTATTATTGGCATTCGCTTTCAGATATTATTGGCATTCAATTTTCACTGATGTTGGCTCCAAGGCTCTTGTCATCATTTCATTGAGACTTTCCAAAAGGATCAGAGTTAACTCGCCCGAAATACCACCTTTTAAGGTAGTGTCAATAATTGTACTGTTTCTATAAAAATCGTTACCTTGCAGCTGCATTATATTGGCTGCACACACACAGCATCAAAGCCATGGTTAAAACAACCGGAAGTCAGACTTGTGTTTTTGTGAACTTTGTTATTTTTACAGCAAGAAGCCAGAAAAATATTGCACAATATTTAGATAACAGCAAATGAAACATGAACAACTTAATAAAGAATTAAAGCTTTCGTGACTGCATAAATTACTTCTTGTTTTTTTCGTTAAAGTCACGTATGTAGAAATACAATAAAATTATATTAAAATAAATCAGGACGTTTCGACCGCAACACAAGCGATCTTCATCAGGTGTAAAAAACAAATAGCGAGGGAGCACATAGGGTGACATCAACGCAACACATAGAGAGCGTTAAACTGCACGGAGGTAAATACAACAAGAAGATGAGAGACGAGTTTAACGCTCTCTATGTGTTGCGTTGATGTCACCCTATGTGCTCCCTCGCTATTTGTTTTTTACACCTGATGAAGATCGCTTGTGTTGCGGTCGAAACGTCGTGATTTATTTTAATATAATTTTATTGTATGTCTACATACGTGACATGAACAACTTGTCTAGCAATGGACCAATACCAATGTACTATACGTTTGTCTTCATTTCCAACAGAACATGTCTGTGCCCTGCAGCAACATGTTGAAAGGTCATTTGGCAGTAGCCAAATAATATTCTCATAAATTATTTTACAAAAACATTTAAAACCCATGAGTCATTAAACTGATATTTGGCATAAGTGGCATAAATTTTGATTTAAAGCTTTCGTGACTGCAGGGATTCATATTCTTGGTTCTTTCGGTAAAGTCACGTAGAAGGGAAACAATAAAATAATAAAAATATAAAACAATAAAATTCTCACGACGTTTCGACTGCAACACAAGCAATCATCATCAGGTGTGAAAACCACAACATCATCCGGTGTGAAAACCACAACATCATCCGGTGTGAAAACCACAACAAGATGATGATTGCTTGTGTTGCAGTCGAAACGTCGTAAGAATTTTATTGTTTTATATTTTTATTATTTTATTGGTTACCTTCTACGTGACTTTACCGAAAGAACCAAGAATATAAGTGATATAATTAGTGTTTTTGAAAATTGTATTGCGTGCCTACAAATAGCCTGCATGCGTATTCCAAGGTGGCACATTATCAATTTGCTCATTAAAAAGTCACCAGAGATTGTTTTCAACGATAACTTTTTAGGACACATGTCACATAATGAAGTAGCTCCTGTGGTAGGCAGATGAGGCATACCCAACCGAATACATTTATAAGCATTCCTTGCTAAGTATATGTGAACGTAATATTTAATAGGCTCCTCCCGTTGATTCATGCTTCGCCAATTTAACCAGTATCCATGGTGATTTGTGAATTCTCAAATTAACAGTTGTCCATCACAAATCGTTAAATTGTTTGTCATTGGCATTAATTTGTGGGAAATTACCATTTTCTAATCATAACAAAAACACTGTGCATGTTTTACACACGGCTACATGTGGCTGATCAAACTTGTTTATGTTTTATGGCAGATGCAGTTAGATCGCCATTTATTTTAAGTGCTTTTGAACAAACAATATTAAATTGGTCCAGCCCTAGTAAATAAAGTAATCGTGCATTTTGAGCGAGACGTTCTCCCATATAGCAATAATATATATACGAAGATATTTTATTTTGCATGCCTTTTGGTTTACCCCAAAGCCCACCATTAAGTATTAATTGCATCGTTTTTCTTATAAAATCAGCTATTTGAGCCAACACTCATAGCCGTTCTGTGCTAAGCGCGTATTTTTTTGGATGTGTATAGCCCTTTTTCCTGTGTTTTTGACGCTCGTGTGTGTACGTTTTGTGGACTCAGGGGCAGCTCTTCCTACTGGTGACAGACCAGGGCTTCTTGACAGAGGAGTCGGTGGTGTGGGAAAGCCTGCACAGTGTGGATGGCGATGGAAACTTTTGCGACTCCGACTTTAACTTGCGCCCACCGTCAGACCCTGCAAACCTGTTCCCTGCTGGAGTCAACCAGGAGCAGATTGATCAGGTTTGTCCACCGTGGGCGTACAGAATGCACACATGGACAAGCGCTGCATGGACAAATACTAAGTTCATCCACCACACAGCAGGGTGAAACACTTGTTGGTTACTTTTTTCCTAGCACCTTCATTTGTGCTGTTTATTGCTGACCAATTGGTGGTTTGTACCTGTGCTCAGCAACAGTAATTCAAGAAGAAAAGGTTAGAATTAAATAAAGCATGCATTTTAAAATTGACTAAACAGCGGTTTTATTTTATATCTAATCACTCTGCACCAGTAAGAAGCAGCACTCTCTACTTTTTCTAACGGGGTGATAACATTGCAATTAATTGAGTTTGATGTTTGTGATAAATTGAGATGGGTTGAAAGTGCATTATAATTACAGTTATACATTGTGTCTTTGTTTAAGTAGTTGGGTGTCTAGATGGCTAATGCTTGATTCGGAGTACCAAGCCAACCCAAACTGCTTTCGCCATGCTGTTGAATTTAAATTGTCTGCTTGGTCACCAATAACTGCACAAATTCAATATATACAAAGTATTTTTTTTTTGTCATTCTGTTTGGCTCCACTGTGTTTATTGGATAAAGTATGAATGTGACTTTATTAGTTCTGGGGTAATATATTTAGGAAAATATTATCTAAAATGCTGTAATGCTTTGCTGGCTGTGACAAATCCAGACGGATGTGTGCCTCATTGTAACTGCAGTAACCAGTGAGAGCTATTTGAGTCATGTGAGAATTCTTTAAACTACTTTTTATACTGTTGTAGGCATTTCACGATATTTACGTGTGTAATTTTCAGACACCTGCTCTTATGAGGCTACCTCTCCATAGTATATAAGTAGGCTTTGAATGAGGGCTCGTGAGACCCAGACATAGCAATAAGCATTTTAATCCTATGTTTTGCATGTCTGATTTTATCCAGATTACATGTAATTGATAGTGGATATAATTAGGCATGTTTGCAGGAGTTTGGGTTTAAGCCATGCAGACAAAATTAAGAGGTAGACTGCTTGAATTAAATTATTGATAAAAATGGAAACCGTGGCCATATTGATTAATTAACTGCATCTTGTTTTTTATTTACTGCAGGATTATTTGGTGGCACTGTCCCTGCAGCAAGAACAGGGTGGCAGTGAACTGCCAGCTGCGGAGAGCGACCTCGATCTGGCCAAGCGGCTCCAGGAAGAGGAGAATTTGCGTGCGGCGCAGTACTTCCAAGAGCAGGAGCGACAGCAGCAACCACAGCAGCCACCGCAACCGCCCCAGGTACAGGGGCTATTGTGGCGCACAAAGCCATTTTCCAGCACTTGAGGCACGGTTGATAAATAATGTAAATAAATGTTGTACTGAAATACATCAAAATCCTCTGGGCTGAAATAGGCAGGAGATGGCATTACAACACATGGGTTTATGATCTGTCTGTGCAGCTTTTTAAAGTATTAGTTTTGCATATGCATGGATTCATGCCGTGACACGACAGTCAGTCTTTCACATGCAAAATGAGCATTTAAAAAAGGAAATGTCCAAACATCCCAAAGGAGGATCCTCCTGAAAAAAGTCTCAGATTCAAATAAACTTCTCTCCAAAAAAATAAACCACATTTATTTGATGTCGTGGACAGGCCCAGCTTTAGTCGGTGGCCAGTATGGTTGCTTAGGGTGATCAAAATGCCATGACAAAATGTAAAGAAGGCTTGTGATGGACGTAAACATTTTTACAGTTTTTCACATGTAACGCCTTGGAAACATCCAAATGTTGATCTATATTTCCCAAGTTTTTGGAAAATCCAATGAAATAACTTAATGAACATTTATAACCACTGTTAATCAACAATTTTGAACATTACTCTATGAAGTGCGAGCAGCCGAGTTGTTTGCAAACATAATTTGGCAACAACTCCAGTCAACAGGCTGTCCAATACTTGCATAATGCCCCTGAGATGTTGCATTAACTAATATGTTATTTTGGTCTTTGCTCCGTGGGCAGTGCTCATAACCGTTGTTGGTCCCGAGCCAGTGGCGAAAATGCCATTTCTGTTGTGCGGGCTCATCTCTCTATAGGCCAACCACTGTTGACTTTCTAATAATTTTATCGACCCTGGATAGCTGATAGGCTGTCGACCCCCTCGCATGCAAGCAAACTGTCAAGCTTTCAAATATAAGTCAAGTGCTTAAACTATCGCGTCACCTGGCCTGATAAGGAACGGTCGTCAATGTAGCTTCATTCGGGCATTATTGCTGGACAGTTCAGATGACAGCATCGTTTGTGCCAATATCCATTCCTCTCTCACCTTCCGCAGCAACCGCAACAGAGGCAACAGCAGCAGCCACCCTCCCCTGGCGAGAGCCGCTCAACGCCGGCGGCTGGCAGCGCGGAGAGGGAAAGACGGCCTCGGAGGCAGGAGGATAAGAGCAAGTGTGTCATCCTGTAAGCACGGGGTCACCACTCGTGCGCTCGCACGCCAAGACCCGCCGTGTCCGTCTGCGTTGACATGCAGCCGGCGCCGGTGCTAGTGCGGCCGTGTCAAGTGCCCACCGATGTAAAAGCAGGTGCCACGTTGAATGGGTGTGAGTGCAATATGTGAATACGTTTAGCGATAGCCACTTGCGGAGGTTTTAGCACGTCGACCATATTTCTTCTTGGAACATGAACCAAGTGACTTATTTTGAACCGCTGTCTCACACTTTATGGTATGACCCACTAGGATGCGTATATACATATATAAATAGATAAAGTTTTGATGTAAAGCTATTATTTTGATAACATTTTGGCAACACAAGGACACGTATGAAACGGTGCCCTATCCTGTAATGATGTCGGGTGAAATTAGATGCCTGCAGTGTGTTGAATTAATGTGTTATCCAGTTTCAGCATCAACAACAGAGTTGAGTTGTCACCAAAGAGACTAGAAGAGCTCTTCCTGTGTGGTTCAAACACAAACAATTGCTTAATTACAGAGTGCTGCCTAGTTGAAATGTTTTAGACTGCCGAAGCCACTTTGTAAGGTGCATTTGTTAAATAACTTCTTACAAAATCTTATTTGTAAATGCCTACACATGGCTAAGATGGTCACACTTTGGTGAAACCTCATCTTGTTGGTATTGAGTGTCGTGTTCGGACCGTTTTACATCATTTGCTTTGTGCTAGCATCTTGGTGACATGTGGCATTCAGTTTTAAAATGTCATAATCGTCACCCACTTGAGAGGATATGTCTGGTCTTCATAGACTGAGATGAAAACATACAAAAACTTCTCTTGAATCCCATAATTAGGTTTATCCAAATCCTATTGACAACCATACTCCTAGTATTTTAAAATATATAAGTGCCTCTAGAGAAAAGGAATTAAACTTTGTTATGATTAGCAAAGAGTTGACTGGGTTTTTTTCAAAGATTGCTGGTGTCTTGCCCTCCTGGTAAAGAGCATCAGGATCTTCGTATGTAAGGCATTCTAGGATTCATACAGGCTTCGGTGTATTATCGAAGTTGTGTTGTACAGTTTTGTAATGTTTGAAAGATGTGATATTTTTTCTAAACTTACTAAACTAAAACCTTTTGGTTTAAAGTAATGTAGTACAAATAAAAAAAACAACAAACACATTTTCTTTTGTTTAAAGGGCAGTATTAATTATAAATTTGGAGAGGTGTTTTTATGTCATTTGTGCTTATACATCACTGCCAACATTTTTCCGTAATGCTTGTCCATGCATGCTGCATTAACATCACTGGACTGCATACAAGTGGACTATTTAAAAAAAATGTCCTGACACTCTTTGCTAATTTGAGGTAGAGTTTAATTCCATCCCTTGCTTAACCATCCATTACTTTCTGTTGTCGTGAAAACCTTGATCTCTTCATTTTGGAGGGAAAAAATGCCACTTTGCCACATGGTATGCATAGGTGTTTCAATGGTGTTTGAGTAAAAAGGTCCCACAACCCATAGAAAAGGCATTAACAAAGTAAAAAAAGCTAGGCCCTACATCTCCAGAGTATAGCTTTGTGCCCATGGCTAAACATCCGTGTGTCTCCACATAAGTCGTGTGTCATTAACTTACAGTTAGTGCTGCCTGTTAGGCTAGAGAATTACTTGAATCTGAAGCACTTGGCACACCTGAGAAGGACAGGCGGTAAGATATGGATGGGTGTGTTTTCTACTGGATGAATATTGATGATGGAAAATAATTAATGAATGTTCTATCAACACAAGTTCCTGCTTGACACTAATTTAATAATAGATGTTTGAGTTTATGCAAACATCCATCGAGTAACTAAGGAGTCTCACTTTTTTTATCGATCCTTTGCCACATTGGTGGGAGGGCAACAGGGAGAGTGGATTTCCTTTATACTCATTAATATTCTAACCAAATTACTTGGTACACAGCCAGTAACTCTGCTTGAATGTACATTGCATCTCTGTTGGGGACAGCTTAATATTTGCCTCTGGCAGCAAAACCAGCAAACTTTGTTAAATGCCATTGCCTGCCAGCACTCCTATACTGGGCCAATAGACATAAAAAGTTTTCAACAGTTTGCGCACAGAACATCCAATAGACTTTTCCTCATACAACAGCCCTTAGCTATGGAATGTGTGTTGTTATGGATTGTCTTTGTTTATGAGGTGGGGTTTTTTTTCAACACTTGTCATGAATGAGAGGCGACACTTGAGAGGGTGGAGCTGGGTAAGTGGACACGCGCTGTGAGTCTCTTTAATCCAACCGGGGTAAGCGAGCTAACGTGAACACTTTTTAGCCATCCCAGCTGTAACTACTGGCTACTCACTGCAATTTGGAACATTTGGGCAGTTAAAGTGCTCGAGGATTTTCAAAGGGGCACTTTTGGATGTCAAATCAAAGAGGCCCTGTAACATAACTTGTGCAAGCCAGTGTGAAAATGAACATTTACGCAAAATTGAGTTCCTTAGGAGTGCCAAGCAGCCAATTATTGATGGCTCTCGCTAGCTTGTCTATAAATTGGTGTAAGATGCTGCCAGTTCAAGGTGTAAAATGGTACAGTTGGCACATGCAAGTGCATCCAGTTCCTTCTCACTGAAACGTATTGGAATTCCTACTCAGTGCCAGCAATTTTAGACGGCTATCTCTTGAATGGACAATTTTAATGTGACCACAACCCCAATGTGGTTAACACATTGCGCCGAGTTCCATTCTTTGCCACAACCAACACCGGTGGCATGTGATATCTGAATTCTGACTAGTGTAATGAAGTATGGTCAAACAACCCCCCATGACTCGGTGTGCAAAGGTTTTCATTCAAAAGTGGATTGACAAAAGGGCTGTAAATTAATGAAAAATAATTTCCAGTCAATCCATACTTTATATGAACAAATAGAAAAACAATAAAACCCATTTCCATGGCAGGGATATGACTCTGAGAGAACTTGAGGCTGGAGAGCTGTGTTTTTTGTGTTATAGCACGAGGTTGTTTGTAAGAAAAACTTTACAATAGAGGTTAAGCGTGCTTTTTCAATTGTGGATATTAGGAATTATCATTTAAGTTAGTTTGAAATATATGCTTTTATGATATACATGTCGCGAAAGTTCTAGATTTGAAGCTTTCGTGACTGCAAGGATTCATACTCTTTGGTTTTTTCGGTAAAGTCACGTAGGTAAAAAATAAATAAAATAAAATAATTTGGTTTTCATTTATTTTATTTATTTTTTACCTACGTGACTTTACCGAAAAAAACAGAGTATGTAGCGAAAGCTACTGGGGGCAACACTTGTGAATTTGTAAGGGTCTCTAAAAAGCAACACTCATGCTGTACGCATCTGTACATAATGGGTCATCTGTATTTTAGCTGTAATGGGGGTCCAATTTCAGGCATAATTATTTTTTTTATCTTAATTTGTTTTATGTTTATTTAACCTACTTTTTGTACACCAACTGTTTAATCATCACATCTCTCATTGAGAACTCTTTCAGATAAACTCTAAAATGTGTTGTAATATTTTCAATAACAATCTCATTTCATTCATCTATGTTATATCCAGGTGCTGTGGCTTTTGAGTGGATTATTTAAGAAGTGGTTTGTTAAGATGCAAATATATTGCTCAATAAATCAGCTGTAGCTTACGTTCATTTTAAGCAGTCCGTACTGAGCATCTTCGCAAGGAATATCTTCCAGCCTTCCATTGAAGCGGTCAACATGACCTGTTGCAACCAATCGGACCTTATTATCAGCTCAACTCTTCAGCCGTTGGGAAGGAGGCTTTACGGTTCATCAAGCAATGCCACAACAGTGTTTAGGCCATTCCTGATCGAGTGTCCAGGTTTGTACGGAAAAGATCCATTTTGTCTTTAAAATATAAAATAATGATTTTGAAGTTGTCACAAGCAGTGTGGATGACTGTGTGCACCCTAGCCAGAGTAGCTGTGTCGTAAGATGGACACACATCATGAGGAGTGAAAGCACCATTTGTTCTGTGCCGAAGTAAAAATATGAGTTTGTTAAATATACTGAAGTTGCCCTTGCTTAGATGACGCACTGTCATTCATTTGCAGACACGAAATCGAATGTGTTTGACAATTTCAAGTCACTGTTGTTATCGGGCATTGATATAATATTGATGATGTAGTCTTTGTTGCACACCTATTTAATGATAGGCGAGTACTGTACTCTTAGAAGCAACAATATTCATTTATTCAAATACAATACAGTATACAATTTTAAAATATGACTAATGTTTAAGTTTGCCATGAAGTTAACGGATTATTTAATTTGAGGAAAATGTTAAACAAATTAGTCAGTTCATTGAATGTGATCGGGGATCTTGCAAAGGCTATGAAATAACTTCTGAATCATTTTTATTTAGAAATTATTAGCTCGTCTAATGATGCATGCCATATAATGCCTAGTCTAATTAAATATAAGAATTTATGCAGTAATAATTGCTTGGTCCATATAAACGTTGGCAAAAAAGCGTTGAGATTTTAGTGCGTTGTGTGCGTCATTGGCGTGTTGTCGTGTAATGTACGCTTGATCATATGTGATGCTTTCCACTTAAAGTTTTAATCGTTCACCGTCTCAACGTGTGCTGTTTGTTCCCTTCCAGTAATGCTTCCTGCATACATTACATTTATGTCCAGAAATTGGTTTTATCTTTCATTTTAAAACAAATTGTTTCCCAATTCATATTCTTGTTCTTTCGGTAAAGTCACGTAGAAGGGAAACAATAAAAATAATAACAAATATTTTTTCTTATTTTTTATTATAATAAATATTTGCATTAATTTTTTATTATTTCATTGTTTCCCTTCTACGTGACTTTACCGAAAGAACCAAGAATATGAATCCCTGCAGTCACGAAAGCTTTAAGTCAAAATTTGTTTCCCAATTGTAAAAAAAAAAACATTAATGAGATTATAGTAAGGTGCATGGCCTTTTAGATTGTACATGTACTAATTTCTGTTAAATGTACACATCAACTACTGGCTTTTTTGCTTGCTAATGCCAAAGCCATATTTTCTCAGATTCTATCTCAATATTAAGTTAATGAGATCTCAAATTGCCCACAGTGGTTAAGGTAATGTTATAGAGGTGGTAGAGTGAACTTTGTGGTGGCTCGGTGCTATGTAGCCACTTAAATGCCTGCCCGCTGATGTAAAGTCGCTTGTCTCATCCTCAATGACAATGCCCTTATATAGCGCTATGTCTTGACATTGGCACGTAATGGCTTTAGATAGTAGATCATGCCTGTTTAAATTAAAATGTTATTTAGTGGCTATGTTTTCTTTACCAGGGTACTTGGTTAAATCATACTACTGATGAATAATGTAACCTATCGCAATATACTCTGCAGTATGTTAAATTGTAGTCACATATACTTTATCACCAATGTAGCATGTTACAAAAAGCCAATAGGCTTCTTTACATTGGAGCATTCAGGACATTTCCTCCCCATCACATTACATTTAAACATGGTTAACAGGTTTTAGTCTGCTCAATTTCATAAAATCATAGTTATATCAACTGGGTATAATGTACAGCAATTTGTATCAAAGCACCTGGCTATTGAAACGATCCTAACCTCTGTTTTACAAAAACTGTTCTTAAACTTCCTGGTCTGAATTATTGCAGTTGCATCAGATTTAATTCTATTTTTTTGTGGGGATGTAGAATTGAGTACATGGAGAAATGGCTTATGGTGGAGAGCTGATGTTAGGTCGGAGATCGGGATGGGAATTTCAGGGTTCTCGCGTATTGACCGGTGTTTAGGTTACATTTTGTTAAATGGTGAATTCAAATGTACCATTTTGCGAAAAGTGCATCAAAAGAATGTATGTGTGTTTACTGCGTCGAAGCAAGTTTGTTTTGCTAACTATGGAGCATCTGTTAATGTGCTCCTTTGTATAATTTTGTAATTAGGCAACGGAATGCATCAGGTAGAAAATATCTAAATTGGGTTTTTTAATTACATTACTAAGTTGTAAGTCAACCGAATTTGGCTGTGTGCTATAAAGTTTCTATTTATACATTGTTGTAAATGTAAATTGTTGTAGGTAATCCGTTAACATTTAAAAGGCATAATGCATATAGACTACAGTACATTAAATTTAGTCACTAATATACTAAAACTCAACTTTTATGCACTTCTCACTCTAATGCTGTAAATATTTATTGGAAATACACACAGCCTAAGCTGTCTCTCAATGATAATGCGTGAAATGAGTATTGGTTTAATGTAATGGCAAAAAATCTGGACGACAAGTTGGTTCGTTGGTTTGTAGATGCGTTGACTTTTGATTTCACTTCTGGTGACCAAACCGGTATTTGTCCAAATGGCTTATTAGTGCCTGAGTAGTAGAATGGAAAGTTGTTGTTTTTTTGGAATCTTAATGTATACTGTAAACACTTGACCTAAGCATTTAATAACTTGTCGGTCGTAAAGTTTTCTGCTGCGCACCAAGATTAAAATTAAAGCGCTTAATTGCTAAATATTTACATATTTCAATAAAACCTAACAAAAGTAACTTGCTTGTCTTGTGTTTTTGTGCTAAAATGTTACGTGATTTCAATTGTCAACACCAATACATATACGCAGGGAAATGATCAAAGTGAATGGAATCCGAATATGCAAAAGGCAAGGCAGAATAAAGGTGTCAGTTTTTGTGCCAGTTAAAAGGGTAAAACCTATTCCTATATCTTGTTACTGGCAAAGGAGGTCTCATGGTGGAGTGCTTTTCCAAAACTGAATTTGATGATCAGAATCTTTATTTATCCTTGAGGATGCCAATAAGCTAAAACTCTTTCACAGACGTCCATTAGGGGCGGGTCGGCAAATTACAACAACAACCAATACCAACCAACGCTAGGAGTGCAAATTATATAAAAAGTAAGCCACTAAAAATAAACACAAATAAGTAAAGTATTTAAGTACAAATTGCATAAGTGCATACATTCCTGCGATTTTTCTGCACAATACAAGCTTGGGAAATCATTATTTGGGTCTTTCGGTAAAGTCACGTAGATAGGTTCAAAGAAAATAACAAACTACGACGTTTCGATTGCAACACAAGCGGTCGTCATCAGGAAAAGGGTGTTAGCCTCGAAAGGCAAACTGTTTATAAAGGTTTGAAATGGAGCGTCGCCCAAATGTCATCAGCATGGGCGGGGCAGCTAATGTAAATGTGAGTGATGTTAATGTGAGTGATGTTAACGTGAGTGATGTTAATGTAAGTGATGGTACTTGTAGAGGGCAACGACGGCGTTGGTGGTGGGTTTCCACCAATTAAAGGGCTGCCAAGTAATCATTGCACCTCGCTTTACACACTGTTGACGGTGGAGGTTGCTGCTTGAGGTGATGGTACTCGTAGAGGGCCACGACGGCACTGGTAGTGGGCTTCCACCAATAAAGGGCTGCTGCTAGTGGTGATGGTAGTAGTGGGCAGTGATGGTCCCGGTGGTGGGCTCCCACCAATAAAGGGCTACTGCTAGTGGTGATGGTAGTAGTGGGCAGTATTGGTCCCGGTGGTGGGCTCCCACCAATAAAGGGCTACTGCTAGTGGTGGTGGTAGTGGGCAGTGATGGTCCCGGTGGTGTGCTTCCACCAATAAAGGGCTACTGCTAGTGGTGATGGTAGTAGTGGGCAGTATTGGTCCCGGTGGTGGGCTCCCACCAATAAAGGGCTACTGCTAGTGGTGGTGGTAGTGGGCAGTGATGGTCCCGGTGGTGGGCTCCCACCAATAAAGGGCTGCTGCTAGTGGTGATGGTGGTAGTGGGCAGTGATGGTCCCGGTGGTGGGCTTCCACCAATAAAGGGCTACTGCTAGTGGTCATGGTGGTAGTGGGCAGTGATGGTCCCGGTGGTGGGCTCCCACCAATTAAAAGGCTGCCGCGTCGTAGTTTTTTGTTATTTTCTTTGAACCTATCTACCTGACTTTACCGAAAGACCCAAAGAATATGAATTCCTGCAGTCACGAAAGCTTTAAGTCAAGATTTTAGCTTGGGAAAGTCAACAGCAATAAAATTGCACATTAAAATGTAACTTGATAGATGGGTAAGGATCAAATTAACAAATCACATTGGAAAATGTAGTTATATCCAGCACTAATCTTGTGCCTAAGGAGGAAACTTCCAGGATTGTATACGATACCTTTTACGACACATGGATTAAAAAAGACAGAAATTTGAACAATCTGAATCGTGCAAAGGGGCATGAAATAGCTCATTAGAATTGCACTAAGGGACAAAGATTCACTCAAACACGTATACCAGGCTCTCAAGGCGAATGGATATTCTGACTACACAATCCGCAAAGCCATCACCCCAACCGTGAGGAAGGAGCCATCTAAAGATCCAATCAAAACCATCACCTTGCCTTGCATAGCAGGGATAACCAAAAATATTTCGAAAATTTTGATTTAAAGCTTTCGTGACTGCAGGGATTCATCTTCTTGGTTCTTTCGGTAAAATCACGTAGAATGGGGATTAATTATAATGCACAGTAACGCATTGTATAACAAAAAAAAAAATTCCCACTGCCCCCGTGCAGTGGTCCACCGGACGTACCGCACCATCAGCAGAACAAAAGAATGATTAATTAACTTAGCCCCACACCCCATCAATGTCCCCCACTTGGCCCCTCCCACCTCCCCCCTAACCTGTATTTAAGCTCGAGGCTCTCAGAGCCTCCCCACTTGATCAGCGATCTTGCTGTGACTGTCCCACCTGAAGACGGAAGCTTGTGTTGCCTCCGAAACGTCGTGAGAATTTTTATTATTTTTTATTATTATTTTATCCCCATTCTACGTGACTTTACCGAAAGAACCAAGAAGATTTCGAAAATCTTGAACAAACACTGCATAAAATTCGTGACCTGATCCCATCTGTGAAGGACAAGATTCCTGCCATGCAATATCCCGGCATCTACAAACTAAGCTGTATCTGCGGCAGCAGTTACATTGGGGAAACCAAACGACATGTCTCGGACCGTGTTCGTGAACATAAGGCAGATCTAAAACGCGGCAGGACCAATACTTCTGCCGTGGCTGATCATTACTTTAATGCGGCTGGCTCACATGAAATTGATTTCTCTAAGACGATGGTACTTTGCAAGCCGACTGGCTATCAACAAAGATTCGTTCACGAAGCCATCCATATATACAGACACAGACACAATTTCAACCGAGACGATGTTTTTTAAACTCGGCAATCATTGGAAAGATGTCATCAACCACTTCGGGTCATGACTTGATTTGTGTTTTCTTGTCAACCTCTACCGTCAGCAGTGTGGATGTGTGTCGCGAGGTGCAATGCCCCCCCCCCCCATCTCTACCCCCCCCCTCTCCCCTCCTATCTCTGCCCCCCTCTCTCCCCCTGTCTCTGCCCCCTTCCTCCCCCCCCCATTGTCTGCTCCTACATTAGCGCTGGATGACTGGCTGCCCCGTCCATGCTGTTTGCGCTGCACAAGCTCTCCTCCTCCTCCTCCTAAACCCCCCCTTTGTTTTGCTCCTGCATTAGCATGGTGCTTGCACAGCTCTCGTTCCCCACCCACTCACTTTGGAACCCTTATAAGCAGTTACATTTTGGAGGCGTGCCCCCTCTTTTCTCTTCGCCTGATGAAGACCGCTTGTGTGAGATCGAAACGTGTTTTTTTTTGCTTTTATTATTTTCAATTTATTTGGAATTTAAATTTTATTTTACAATTTTTACATTTTTTGTGTCTTTTTTGCTTTTATTATTTTCAATTGATTATTTTTATTTTTTATTACTTTGATTTTTTTATTTGAATATTATCATCTTTTTATTTTTTTTCTATCTACGTGACTTTACCGAAAGAACCACGAATATGAATTCCTGCAGTCACGAAAGTTTTAAGTCAAAAATAAGCATGCTTTGAAGGCATGATGTCTTATGGATGAGATTGGTAGCAGAATCGCAGCCAAACAAAGTGAACGCCCGATAGAAAGACTGCCATGGAGATGGAGAGATGAGATTAGCTCATGTGCAGAGACACCATCGAGGATTATGGCATCACGGGATCGTAAAGAATGGTGATTCATGAGGGAAGCCTGCAACCAAAAGTGGATCGTCTGATGATGAAATGTAAACAAATATCCAAATGCATTACAAATACTTATTTGTGTGAAACAATGGAGACTGATCTATGGAAATATGGTAGTTGCGGCTTATTTAGAAGTTAACATTTCGGTAATATAATTACAAATATTGAACAAATTCAATGACGGTGAATATTGTATGCACGGTTGTACTACGATGCGTTCTAATCGGCTGATTTTAAATAGCAGCTACTCTTGGCAAAGGCTTGGGCACACACACCCAGTGAACCGTAAGGTGTACGGCTCGCGTCGACCAGTGTCCGTTACTAAATCGCCAATTCCACGCCGGGCGGCTGCCAAAGTTTGTAATTTCACACTGCTCTCGTAGGAGCAACTAACTTTGAATTTTTAACTTCTCGTTTGCCCCCTTCGTGGTCTGGTGTAGTCTATTTTTTTTCTTCCAAATATGAACGGGAGAAAATAGCCCTTCAGCTGAGCGGCCGCGTCCCATAAAGTTATGGCAAACGCATGCAACAAAACCAATCAGAAATGATGATGCTCGTATCATACGGTCGGAGTGACTGCTGTTGGCACCAGTTCAGGCTGACATGGCACACGATGGAACAGTAATGCTAGCACTATGTCCAAGATACATGTTTCCCCACTGTCGATATTTACCGTTAAAGAGACAACTTATTTTAGGTCGAGTCGACCTGTTGGGAGTTCAGTGTAGGTTCAAGTAAGTGATGTGTACGGCTTGGAATCAAGCCTGGGTCGCTCAAGCGGTGCCCGCACATATGCAGGCACGTATTTGCAGAATTGAGCTCAGTTATTTGAAACAATCGCTTTACAATCTAGCAGAATTACTATAACTTTTACCTATGAAAAATGATCGAGGACAAAACTTGTCCAATTAACAGTCAGAATGCGACAACCACGTACCATTTTCATAATTTGTGCATCGTATATTTCAAAAGCGACCATGATTTATCTGTTAATGGCCAACCAATTTACTTACACTGTAGTATATGTTATATAGCAGCAGCATTCAAAAAACAGAAGTTTGCTTTGTTTCCCTACCCCGTGCAACTTCACATCGCCGAACGCGTCGTGGTTTTTTTTGCACACCCAAAAGAAGTGGCTCTTTTCTTTTTTTGTTTGGGGCGGTGTATTTCTCCTGCTCCTTCTCCTTCTTCTTGTTGATGTTGTTGTTGTATCAGAATGAAAACACGACACGCCCCGCGCGCGCGCTGAGCCCGAGTTTGTCCGGAGTGGCACTCGTCACTGCGCTATGGTGACACCATGCCCACCACGCTCTGTCTTCATAAAGCAGCTCCGTTTTCCTCCGCGCAGGGTATCCAGTGCTCTTCACGGTGTCCACGCGCGGCAGGCGGGTATCGCGAGTTTCCTTTTCGCCAGACGTCCCCCACCACCACCCCACCATCACCACCACCAACACGCCACATTTCTCTTTGCGTGCACCGCGCCTCGCTCTTCCATCTGCGAGTTTTTGGTTTGGTTTTCTTTCATCATTGTTTTGCTCTCCTAACCACCCACCCACCTTCCCCCCCCGTTTCATTTTCGGGAGTCTGAGCTGGCCAGACAAGAGAGAGAGAGGCGCTACCGTGGCTGTGATGTGCTGGTAGGACGTGGTGCGAGAGGCGTACCGTGGAACGGGAGTTAGTCGCTGAGCTTCTCGGACGGGGGCTACGTACGGTGCGAAAGAAGTTCAACATTGTCACATACAAACACACGTGGGTGGGGAGCTTCACCTGCACCGAGCAGCGAGACAGCCGCTCGATCATCCGTCCGCGATGTGGTGGCGTCGCATGTTGCTCGACCCGGACAACAAAACGTGTAAGTTGAACACCTGCAGGAGAGAGCGTCAATGGCAAGGAGAATGAACACGATGTTCATCCCCACGGCGGTGTTGTTGCTGTACCGGAGCTATGCACAAGCCACCTATGCGTTGTGTGTTTAGATTGTTGTCCTTCCCCCGCACCTCCGATGAGCACGGTTGGCTACGTACGGTGAAGAACGAAGTTCAACGAACATCCGCGATGGCGAGGTGTTAACTACCTCGCCCGACATGCAGGAGGTTGTGGGTTTGATCCCGACCCTGACGCCTACTGCTGCTGCCGCTGTATATTTGCAGTTTGCATGTATGGGTAACTTTTTCTCCGGGTTATTCGGTTTCCCCCTCCACATTTAGAATCAACATCGCGCGGCTTTTGGGTTATTTGGCTGCTAGACATTTCCAACACTTTGAGCCACTTTCGTTGAGCATTCATTTGTAGACCAGGTCGCTTCTGGAAGAAGAGAACAAAAACTACACAGCTCAGTGGGGCCTTGTCTGGTAAGGTAAAAAAAAAGATAGTTTAGTTTATAGTTTGGTTACCACGCGTGTCATTCGGCACGACGTGCCCAGGACGTGACACAAAAGAACGCGAACTCGCATTGTGTGTGTGGAGCCCGCAGAAACGTGCAGTAGTAAAACGCACACTTGAGCATTTAATACTAAAGTGCAATGGCATCACCAATTTGGTGTCGGTAATTTGCTTCCTTGGCGCCTTCTGTGTGTGAGCGACTGTACCCTCTCAGACGCAGATGTGTTTTGAAAATAATAGTTTTTTTGTTCATGTAAATTATTTACTTCATTCTCAGTGCAAGCTTCCACTGTGGCGTTCAGTGTGGTAGGGGGGGGTCTCTGCAGATTACAATTTGCTCCTTCTAATAACTATACACGGAGATCCGTTTATAGATACCACGACTGATTTGTGATCATCTTCTCTACGCGCGATCAAACATCGTGAAAGCAACTTTTACATTCCATATCTTGACAGAGGGGAGCGTTAAAAGAGTTATGCATTGACATTGCCGGCAGACGTGTAGAGCCTTTGCTGTTGCTTTTTCTATTATTTATTCGCTATTGTTTTAGATGGGGAATCTGTAAATTGATCACATTAAATAACGCCACCCACATCCGTGTCTGTAAATGGAGTTATAGAGAAAAAAACGTTGACAAATCTGTCAGGTGAATGATGTTTTTGAAAATTCAGATTTAAATCATCATATAAGTTTTGCCAACACATTGACCATCTCATCACTTGCTCTTGAAATCCTAATGAGCTTTTGTAATTGCTTCTGTGTTTGAAGAGTACATTACTCTCATAATGTGACAGCATTTTTTATAATACGTGACAGCTAATTTTTACCCATGCAGGTAATTCTTTTTTTTTAGCAATCATTGAAATGTGTGACTTTCAATTTAGTTTTCAAAGGTGGCATGTGAACTTTATAATTATATATTTCCAGGACACTCTTGTCAATGACATCGTCTCAATGTGCAATTACAGCCTTTGGTATTTAAAAAAAATCTTCCGTCAAAGACTAACCTTTCGTTTTAAAAAAAAACATTATTTTAAAATATCTATTTTTGTTTATTTTTTATTCTACAGCTTATCAATAATAGCATTTTTAGAATCCCATTAAAAAATGTTTGTACAACCCTTGTGTACAGTGTTGTGTGTACTGAAGGATATAATTTCAACATTTCATAATGCAGCATACATAAGACTGTACAATATCTCTGAGTGCATGATCATTAATGATGCAAGTTGCAGAAAAAAATATTCATCACATCAGATGTTATAATTCTCAAAATCTCGTACATTGAACGTATGCTCAGTGGAAACAGAGGCAAAGACATAAATACTGCATGTGTATGCATTTAATCCCAACGTCTTGCTGTGGTATTCCCCATCACAAAATGAGACGTTCGTTATGTAAGAACCCTACTTATGGACCATTCGCCAAAACAAGCCATGGGATCTTCATCTGCTGCAGAATTTTGCCCAATGGCAACGAATGCAGGTTCCATATAAAAACCTTAAACCAGCTGCCCCTTCAAAATATGGGGTGGCACTCATCTCCGATGGCAGCCCTGAGACATTCCCACAGTGGTGGTGTCAGTTTCTCCATAGGGCAATGAGTTGACCTCTTGACTGGGATTTGAACTTTTAAACTTATGATCTGAGTAAAGTGATCTGCCACGGCACGTGAACAAAGTGTAATCTGTAAATATTGCAGTGGTAGAATCTGGCCGATGTCAATTTGGCTTATACAATGCTTAGTGTGATGTGTCAGGTAATTATCATTTTGCACCAATATATCCATTGCTTGCTCTGTTTTCATGAGTTTTAAGATTTTACCTGTATCCAAGAATCCAATAACAAATACGAGGGGAAGTCTATGATAAACACATCGAAAATGTATTTAAATGCGTTTGTTAAATGGCGATTAATAATTCTGAAATCTTGCCACACGCAGCTGTTTTGAGTTACATGCAGAATGTTTGTGTATTTATGCAGAATATTTATGTTTGAAGGCTTTAGGAGGATACATCTTCCCATTGATCTTATTTACTTAGCTAAACATTCTGATTTTTGTTAATTCTGATCGGTTTCAAGTATCAATTTTATTTTTAGCACATATCTAAATTGAATGAGGCAATACAAATACCTCTCCAGCCATTGCCATAACCATTTTATACGAGGGCTGCTCTAACTGCTGCGGTGACGTCTTTAAATAACGTGGGTATTTGTCAATTAGAAAAGGACAGAATGAACGGCATTGGACACAATGCAGAACCAGCGGAGCGTTTTGAGTCGTCAGGAGCAAAGTAAAGAAAAGCAAGGCCGATTAAATTTTCATGATTTTTCCCTTTGTACTCGGGAGATAGAAATCTGCCTGAGTCAGGTGACAATTGTACCGCATGTGGAACAGTGTGTGTTTTCTTAGTAAAATTGAAAGAAAAAAAACACCCACTTAAGAAGAATCACAGATCTACTAGCCTCCTATGACGCGTATATAAATTGTTCACGAAATATAATTGGGGAAAGAATAATGGGCAATTTAGAGGAAAATCAACCGCACGAGCAAACTGGGGTTGTGAAAGGGTTTTCTTCTTGCATGGAACGCATTTCACAACCATTACGTGGCAAAGTTTTTCCAAAACCTCACCCGATTGTCTATGTTGCTCCTGTAGTATAGTTCAAACTTACGAGCACGAATTTTGGGTCTTCCCGGATATACAATCCTTATAACAATGGAAATTCCTTTCAGGATTGAATAACCTATTAAAGATAGCTTTTAAGTTGGGCTCAAGATAAAGAAGAAACAAAACCAAAGTCACCTACACACAAATTCGCTCGTCAACAAAATAAATGCAGCTATTTGTGAGAGGGACACAACGGTAAAACACACTCGAGTATGTATACCTGGGGCAGTTCCTAATCATGGATAAAAATCTGTATCGGACCAGGAACCAAATTATTAATTAGTGAACACGGGCAAGAGCAAGTGATTCGGTCATGGTTTTATAACCTGTGATGTAATACTGGTAGTAGGAAACGTAGTGGACTGGAAGCCCAACCGGGATTGATTCACAGGAGGCAAGGGGATTAATTGTGTATGTCTGTGGATGTCTGTCCACGTGGGAGAGGTGGGGCTGGGTGGAGAGGGGAGGGTAGGGAGGGGCTGGGTGGGGAGGGGCTGGGTGGGGAGGGTGGGGCTGGGTGGGGGGTGGGAGGGGTGGGGCTGGGTGGGGAGGGGCTGGCCACCCCGTGGTGTCCTTATATGGACTGGAAGCCCAACCGGGATTAATTCACAGGAGGCAGGGGATTAATTGTGTATGTCTGTGGATATGTCTGTCCACGTGGGAGGGGTGGGGCTGGGTAGGGAGGGGCTGGGTGGGGAGGGGAGGGTGGGGAGGGGCTGGGTGAGGAGGGTGGGGCTGGGTGGGGGGTGGGAGGGGTGAGGCTGGGTGTGGTGGGGCTTGGTGGGGAGGGGCTGGTCACCCCGTGGTGCCCTTATAAAACTCAACGTTTAACAAACTCACGACGGCTTGTGCCCTCACTCACAGTCGGGCATATTTGCGGAATACACCACGTGGTGCCGCCGTTGACCCTGGCCATTGACCGAGCAACCCAACGTTCATACCAGCTCCCTCCGCAGGAATGTGTTTTTAAATGGTAGTACATTGTTTAGTTGTGTCATTGGCTTGTGTGTATTTACAAGTGTTTTTGTGAACACCTAGTTTGCGAAATGTAACTAAAACTCCACAATATGTACGATACATTACCCAGGCATGGTGTTGCATATAATTATATCCCATGGCAGGTGCGTTCATTGTAGCGGGTTAAGCGATACTTTATTTTTCTTGCTCATGAATTTATTTTTGACGAACCTGCTCATTTATTTTTCTTTGAATGCTGGGTCTGCTATTTTGTATTGCTGTTAAATCCAAATCCTGCATCCGTAGGTGCACTTCGGTGTATTCGTGCCGACATTATAGACGAAGGCGCAGCGGGTCCAGTCGACACAGCTCCTCCTCTTGAAAGTAAATCGTCATGCCTGTCCCTCACCCCCTGCTGGGCATTGTGGAGGCAGAGTTTGTTGTCTGGGGAGATTATGCCTCCTTCCTCAGCTTCCCCAACATTAAGCCTGCCCCCCCCCCCCTGCCATATCTTTACACAAAAGACTTATGAATATTTGCAAAGCTTTAAAAAAAAGAAGCTAATTTCAACCAAGACGATTCAGTTCTGGGACTTGAATAGCGCAAATTTGACTTGAGTTTATTTTATGCATAAACAAATTATTGCCACTGTGGGCAAACGCAGCGTTATTGAAGTGTGTCAGGAGTTGGAAATTCAATATGTATGCGCATTATCTTTAGATAGATTATATATTACCATAAATTAATTGCCTATAATTCTCGTGGCACGTTAAGTGGAATTTAAATATAATTTCTAGTGCAAATAAAAATAACATTCTCTCTGCTTTGTTGCACAGCAAGA